CTCCCGTTCAACCCCTCCGCCTCTACGTCACAGCATATGACTTCCGGCTCTTTTGAATGGGCGGGAAGGCTGTCAATCATTTTCATCCGGCCAATCAGAGGCTTACTATTAAACCTGGAGGTTGCTTTTACGTGAAGCACCTGAATGCAGCTCAGTTTTAGAAAGGAGTGATAGATGATAAAGAGTTCAACAGAAATCAAACTGTTGGAGGAAGAGAAGAGACAGAAGCAGCCAGTGAAGGTGAGTTTGATTACAGAGTGAATTGTTATATTTTTCTTTATCTTATTGATTATTGCGTCATTCTTTGTAATAATCTATAAACTTACTATAAACACCACAATCTTTAAACTCTACTATTTATTTAATTTCTGTCAGCACTTATGTTTACATTTACATTTACTTTGTGATTATATCTTTAAGGCTCTTATCATATCTTCTATTTTCCATTTTTATTTCACTATATGTATATATTGTGTTATATACTGCATATAGGTACTATTCTTTAACGTTGTTAAAGTGGGGATCAATAAAGTATTTATGATTATTGATTAGTGTTATATTGATTATTTGTTGGTGCAACTTTCCTCTGTTTTTAGTTAAATTTCTGTCTGTGCAATAACAGGTTCAGTTTATATTCATTATAATAATAATAATAACAATAATAATAATAATGATAATAATAATAATAATAATAATAATAATAAGACAGTAGGTGATTCAGATTTTCAGATTTAGAACTTTTGTGAAATCAGTTAAAAATATAAAAGATGATGTTACAACAAACTCAAGATGTTCTCAAACCGAAGCATGGTGCATTCAGGTGGGTGTGTTAAGTAGAAGAAACCTGCAATCTGTTCATCTTCACAGTCCATTGGACACAGGAATAAGATAAAATAAAATATTCCTTTATTGATCACCCTAGGAGAAATTCAGAACACAGACACAGCAGCAGAGAATAGTAGTTCAAAAGAAAATGAGGAAGCTGGCAGTTATGAGTAATACACATAGACTGAAGGGGGGGGGTGGCGGGGGGGGGTACTTTTTCCTCCCTGAGCTGCCCCGAAAAAGCACGATGGCTCTTTACGAGAAATTTGCATTTGATGAGCATTAAAGTGGCAGATTTTTAAATGGAATTTGGTCTGTAGATTCCCAGAGATTTAAAAGAATAACACTGAGAGTTTAAGCTGCTTCTGTCTGACTGAAACTTTCATTAGTTCCTGCACCAACTGGCCTTTTAAATCATTTAATAAGAATAAACATTGTGTTTGGGGTTGAAAACAACTGTACATGTTGTACACTGTGTGATGTGACGTCTTTTATGTGCCAGAGAGAGAAACTGAAAGTTCTGAAAACATTTTCTATTTTTAAATCATCAAATTTGCAGCAGCTCTGTTCACATTTAAGATCTGCACTGTAATGCAGAAACACAACATAATGCTTCTGGTTCTGATTCAGTATGACTGCTCTGACTCATAAACCACCAACAATGTGCATGTTTGAAATGTTATGGAAGAAGCCGCTCACATCCTCAGCAGAGTTACTAATAATGAAAGTAGAATAATGACTTCATAGTGTTTTTTCTGTTGTACTACAGCAGTTCAGGGTTTATTGTGTATTCTCTCCTTTGTCTGACCTCTGACCCCGGACTGCAGGCCCTGCTGTCTGTCTCTGTGTGAGCATCAACAGATATAAAGGTAGTGTAAATGTAACCTGAGGCCTTATTACATCTGTATTTCTTATTGTTTCCTGTGTGAGCAGACGAGTCATTAACACTTTAAATGTTGTTATTTGAGCTTCTGGGACACATTTATTTCCCTTCCTGACCATTACAGATGTGTGTACGTTATTTCACACGTATCTCGTTGGTTCAGTCTCTCTGACCCAGTGAGTCCGAACCCAGATCCTGGATCCTCCAGCGGGTCCATCAGGCTCTGAGTCATCTGTCTCTCTCTGTCTCTCTCCAGATGTCCCTCAGTTGTCTCCGGGCTTCTGACCCAAACGTCAGCGTTGTGGATGTTCTGTACTACCAGAACCGGGACCATGAGAACCTGTATGAGGGGAGCGGTGCACCTCCACTCTGCTCCTCCTCCCCCCCGCCTCCCCCCTCCGGCTGCATGGTCTGTTCCAACCGGTCCGTCCTCGTCGTTTGCTCCGAGCTGCAGCAGGATGAGGAGCTGGTGATGGAGGGAGCGGGTCGACACATCGCCATTACAGCGAGTGGTGGGAGCTTCATTTATACATTATATTATTATTATTATTTTATTATTATATTATTATTTATACATTATATTATTATTATTATTATTATTTATATATTATATTATTATATTATTATTATTATTATATTATTATTTATACATTATATTATTATTTTATTATTATTATTTATACATTATATTATTATTATTATTTATATATTATATTATTATTATTATATTATTATATTATTATTTATACATTATATTATTATTATTATTTATATATTATATTATTATATTATTATTTATACATTATTATTATTGTTATTGTTTATAAATTATTATCATTATTTATTATGTATACATTTTTATTATTATTATTACTATTACTGAAATTAAACTGATTATCTAAGTGTTCACACTGCTTCCTCCCTTCCTCCCTCCCTCCCTCCTCCCTCCCTCTCCCTGCAGAGTGTCCCAGACTCCTTTCTGAAGGTGAGTTTGATGTATTGATCAGTTAAAGGTTATTGATCAGCAGTTCTACCTGCTCACTGTAATGTGGCTCCTCCTTCCTTTTTCTTTCTTTCAGTCATAAATAAAAATGCTGACTCATCTGGAGACCAGCAGGGTGAGCAGGAGCACGCAAGTTTCACAAACTATTTCAAAAGATCTTTTTTTATCATCAGTTTGGTTTTAATTGGTTTTAAGACACTGCTCTGTCTGACAGCTGATTGGTGGCCGCTCCTCCTCGTCTTCCTCATCCTCTTCATCGTCTTGGTGGCTTCCTACAAACTCTGGAAATGTAGAAGACAATGAAGAAGCAGAGGGTAAATGTGTGTGTGTGTGTGTGTGTGTGAGACACTGAGGAGGATCTATAGTCTGAATATAATGTTCACATGTGATATCAGAATCATTGTCTGGTGTTCACAGAGTGCAGACCGCAGCCGACTCCAACCAGCTGAACCCTGTCGCTGTCCAACTTTAATTCAGATCATCAAATATATGAAATTAAAATGCTTCTTGCTTTTAACCTGTTATTGTTTCATTATTACAACTTATTGTGAATTGTTCATCACATTCACTCCTTCTGTATCACTGGGGATCCAACAGTGGAAATCAAACTCAATGATCATTAACCGTGTGAATAAAAGTCCTCCACAGGTGAGTTCAGGTGTAACAGCAGGTAAACACAGACGTTACCATGGATACTGGAAACACTCTGATACACTAAATGGAACTGAGCCTTAATCATCGTTGGTAACACCTTTATAATTATTGATGCATTAATGTGTTTAATGCTGCTGTTAATTAGGTCGTCCAGCTCCCAATTAAGGGTTGCCATGGCGATGGTCTCCTGGGCTTCATTTCATTGAGATTTTATCTGAGATTCACTAAAAGTAAATTGTCTAATAGAATAAAAGTGTCAGGGAGCAGAAATACGAGGTATTAATCAAAAATACAGAATAGAGACAGAAATGTATAAAAAGGGAAACAATCTGCTCACAATTCATCCAAATAACTTCCTGCAGTTACTTTCAATATAAGATGAAATATCAATAAATATGTGACATAACAGACATTGAATCCATCATTGAGGTCCAGTTCAGGGTCAGTGTGAGTTTATTAAAGCACTGTGGTGAACTTACAGACAGAATGTAAATGGTAGTGAGCAGACGGTACATGATTACTATCAGGACCCAAAGGCAGTAAAAACAGCATTTATATAGAATATTAATATATAGCAGTGGCAGTAGAAAATAACTGAATATAAAGTTAACTAGAGAAAGAAGCAGCATAATAAACAGTATTGCACAAAGTTCTTTACATTGCATTGACCTGATAACGATCCAACTCCATTAACCGGACTAACCTCCCGACTCTGTGCAACCTGGACCACATTCATTCATTCTTAAGGACTCGTCAGATTTTAAGAGAGGAGAGAATTTAAAGGCACGTTGAGGTTTAAAAGATAGATTAACACTAAAAGAGAAAGAACGTCGTCTTTCATGATGTCTCAGGCGATCCGTCTTTGTCCAGAGTCCCGTTGTCCACTCTGTAAACAAAGCAGAGTTTCATGTTCACAATAAATCCTAATAAACAACATTTTATTCCTCTTGTTGGGAGTCACATTAATATGTGGAGGCTCTAAAGGAGCTTCAGTCTGCTGGCAGCGATTACATCACGGATCAATAAATGTGCTGATTATCAACGTTCACACAGACTACAGTTACACCGACCTGCTGAACCGCTGGCGTCCCTGACAGCAGCAGAAATACACCACCAGGGAGAGGATGATGAAGATGAAGAGGAGGATGAGGGCAACAGGCAGCAGCCACTGTAGAGCGTCTGTGAGAGACAGACAGACAGACAGACAGATGGCAGTGAGACAGGAGGCACAAAAACAACCAAAAGGTTCAATAAACAGTCAATTTATGATCCGTAATCTTTTCATCTGACAGAAACTGTGAAAGCTAAAGGACGCTCACCCTCAGAGGGAAGTTCTGGACCAACTGTAAAGAGACAGACAGTTAAACTCACAACCACAGACAATCTGATATTATTATTATTATTATTATTACTACAACTGCCATTTAACTACTACATTAATATAAATACATCATTCAGTTGTTTCAGGAAGGAATAATGTCCATTATCAGGAACACTGACACAAGATAAACATCCTGGTGTTTACACACAGCGGCTACCGAGCGGTTTAGTGGAGTAACGTTATAGCGAGCTGGTTTAAAGGCCAGTGATCTGTATCTGCGCCCACTCTGTGCTCTGATGTGTGATGGCGTTGCT